TTCAAGCCTGAGCTAAACAGCAAAACCTCTGGTCGTGGGTTGGTTTTATTTGCCTGACAGCTCAATGGTTGAAAGTTTTGTGTTTTGAAGCTTGCTTATTCCGAGCTGTGGGTTGGAAATCTCCTCCTTTCTCTTTTAGATGAAATGGGAGGCTCTTCTGCAGCACTGCACGTGGTGGCTCCTCTCCCTTTGGGTACTGCTAGGCGCCTCATCCTGTGCCTCTGCCCAAGACGCAGCCCCGGGGTGGTTTTTGGCTGCCAAGGCACCTGCCTCACCCCGCCGGCCTCTGCTAGCCCTTTGCTACTTGGCACCTCGGGGCATGGTAGCCCGGCACCCTGCGTAAGGTTGCCCATGGGCAGGGGGGCAGCATTTGCTTGGCATGTGTGAGCTCGGCGAGGGCCCATGTCCTGCCCGTTTGGGAGAGCTACGCTTAAAACCAGGTCAGCTCCCTGCTCTCCTGGGGCTGCCCACCCAGAGGAGGAACGCAGGGAGAGAGAGGCCCAGCATCTCTCACAGGCAGTCACTGGGAGTGGTGAAACATCAGTCTGCACGCTCTCTTTTGGAGGGGTGGAGGGTGATGTTAGGCTGGGATGTGCAAACTGGGGTTTTCCCCCTCCTGTACACGCCTCTGGGTTTGGGCCAATGACTTTTTTCACCATGTTCCCTTTTAAACGCTGCGCTGCTCCACAAAGAAGTGAGATTTTTTTTTTTTCTTTTTGGTGTCCAAATCCAAATTTTGCAGACTGGGCCATCTGTCAATTCCCTCCTACGTTGTTCTGTTCATATTAAACTGTAATGAAGGCCAGACTGAAGAAGGAATTAGGTCAGACAGGAGGTTTAGTCTCTGTTTTTGGGGAGATGTTTGTTGCCCAAGAGAGGCACCGTGGTTTGGTTGGCTCAGCACAAGCCTGGATGCGAGGGATGCCTGAGCTGTCCTCTGAGATTTGGCAACTGGGCCTTTTAGCACATTGTGGCCTCTTGGCCCCCAACTCCCCAGCAGCTGGACAGAAATCACTGATCCAGCTGATTCTGCAGCAAATCCTCAAAAAATCCTTTAACAGTCTCGGGTGGGAGGGTGGCTCCACTGCAGACCTGCCCTGGGGCTCACTCCTGCCGTGCCGCAGCTGCTCGGAGAGATCCCTCTCCATTGGTGTGTCCCCGCTGACTGGGGGCTGCCGAGCGGTGTTTGGGGGTCCCTGGCCATGGGTGCAGCAGAGTGTGCTGTGAGGGGGGAATACACGGGAGTCCCAGGGCAGCAGCAGCATCCCCCGTGTGGCAGCTTGCAGCCGAGCTGGCTCCAGCGGCAGCCTGGCTCCATGCCGGGACCTGAGGATGCCGGGGAAGGTGGGAGAGGGACACGAAGGATGGAGAGCAAAGCAGCCCCTCTCTGGGCCAGGAGAGGCCAACGGCCTGCTCTGATGGCTTGTCCGAGCCTCTCCTGTGCCGAGAAGATTGCTCTCATACGCGGGTCATTCAGAGAAGCTTCAGATGTGATTCCCAGACAGTACAGGGCACCTGTGCAACCAAGACATTCCTCTTGCATCACCCTCTTGCACACTGTGTGGGGTCCGAGCCCTTGTTAGGAGGAGTTTGGTGCTCAGATTTTTGGGCACCCGGCACGTCTCGCGCTGCTGTTCCCACCGCCCCGGTTAAAACCGCATCCTGAGGCGTCTGAGCTCTCCGTGGGCACATGAGGAGGAATGGCAGCCGGCGTGGCTGATTCAACCCACTTTGGCAAGAATGAAGCTTTGGTGGGCGTAGCCTCTCTTCTAGAAGAGGTGGGACCCTGTCGTTTAGGAAAGTGCCCTGCTTACCTCTCCCTGTCGTATTCCTGTTACATCTCACGTCAGAGAGGCTTTCTAATAAAAACTGAAGGCTTTTCCAGCCATTGGTGTAAATTCACTCCTGTCTCACAGCTGAGGGGCCTGTCCCTGTCCTAGTGCTTGGACTAGAAACCAAAAGCAGTGCTGTCCCACCTTTCCAGTGGAGAATGAAGGCTCAGCAGGGTTCACAGGGCTTCAATTCATGATGCTGACCAGGGTTTGGCCATGACAACTGAAGTTGCATGCAACCTGTGCAGCTGGCATGGTGCTTGTGCTGGTCATGGGCTGTGGGTACCCAGCTGTCCCGTGCCACCCCGTTCTGGGGAGCAGCACCTTCTCTGGCAGCTGCGGCGGGGCATGTGCTAGCTCTTCAGCATGGGTGCTGCTCATCCATGCTAAGAAGGAGCAGGAGGGGGGAAGGATTGACTGGAGGGTCATCGGGATGCACTGAGCAAGCGATGACACCCTGGTAGCCTGTCTAGCCTTTGGGTGAAGCTTGGTGGCTTTTCTCTGCAGGGTCAGTAGGGCCAAAGCAAGCGGGGAGGGCTTACGGGGTTGGGTTGGGTTGCAGCTCCATCAAGCTGGAGAGAAACTGCAGCACCGGGTAGTAAATAAAGATGCTTTTTGCTTTGCTGCCTGGTTTCTCATTACACAGCTGCTGGAGGGAGTGGGGACATGCCAAGGTGACCGCGGTGGAGCGGGCTGGTGGTTGATGCATGGGCAAAGGGGGACTTTATCGCATGGCACACCGCCATGTTAGCCTGGCTCTGGATGACAGCATTGGGGCCATCCCTGTTGTTGCAGCTTCAGGGGGGCTTCCTGGCCAGAGTTATGGGGTGTGTGAGCAATCTAAAAGAGCTCTGAGTGGAGGCAGGGAAGGCTGCCAGGGGCAAACTTGCGCTTGTGGTGTGGGTTGTGCAGGAGAGGGTATTTTCCGAGGAGCACAAGTTCTTTTCCACAGTAGGTATCAGGTCTCCCCAGCATCAGATATCGCCCTGCTGACAAAACCTTGCTCTCCCCTTGCTTCAGAGCATCTCACACCTTCCTTGAGACTGAATATGGAGGAAAAACTGTGCTTGTCACCTGTGCCACCAAGCAAACCCCTTCTGGGGGCCAGCTCTGGCTTGAGGGAGGCCATCATGCAGCCTGTTTGTTAGCTGCAGTGCTCACAGCCAGCAGGAGCCTAATTGGGGACGGGGGATTATTTGGGTGTCCTGAAGTCCCACGTCAGCGGCTTTGACGGCGGCACTGGCTGGCACACATCTGCTGCCCCGGGGACACCAGTGATCAGGAGCTGCACATAAAAAACAGGGGGAAAAGGGAAAGAAAAATAAGGAAAGGGGGCGGGATCATTGGTCTCTTGTCAGTTGGAGATCCGTCTGCTGATACTGCTGTACCAAGGGCATGACTCAAACAGTGAAGGTGATGCTGCGGTCATGTTGGGGAGGCCCAGTAAACACCCGTTGGCCACTTCATAAAAAAAATCAAGGTGAAAAGGTGTTGGTGACAAAACACTGCAGCTTGGCAGCATGGTGCAATTGGACCCCAGTGCCACCCCTCTGCTCCTAGTGCAATATAGATCAGAGCCCCTGCAGTGTGCCAAAGGGACGGGTGCTACTGGAGAAGCTGGTCCCTGTCCCATCACTTGCTGGTTTGAGCCCAGTTTGTGCCCAGAGCTGCTGCCTCTCTTGTCCAGAGCACTGGAGGGGCTTTGCCAGCCTTGCTGGTCTCTGCCAGCGCAGGCTAAGCAATGCGGTGGGCACTGAAGTTTGTGCAGGGGGGATGCCCCCCTCCGCTCACCCAGACCTTGCAGCCTCTGTTTTGGCTTTTCTTGCTGCTGATCCCTGTCCCTCCCGCTGCTCAGAAGAGCTCATGACTTGTAAGCACAGCGCGTTTCTAGCAGCACTGATTTGAGCTACATGCTAGTAAAAAATTGGTAGCAAGGGTGGCTTTATTGCTGGCAGGACTGTAGTGGGGCCCCGGGGGAGCTGGGCTAATTTCCTGGCTGCGCTGCAGACTTCCCCCGTGACCTTGGGCGAGTCATTTAATCTATCCTGGGCTTCGGCTCCATCTCCGAGCATCCCGGGGGGGTGAGGTAATATTCATTAACTGATATTATTCTCGAGTTGCTCAGATGCTATGGTGATGAAGGCTGGATGTGAAACCCAGTGTCTTGGCTGAGCATTAGCAGGGAGAGGGGATGCTCCACTTGAGATTTAGCATTACCCCATGCTGGCTCCTATTTTGCCACACTTCCCCTCTTCATTTTGAGCCGACCTGTCTGGCCACCACTGTTGCTTGGCTGTATATACACAGTGATGCTCGTCACTGAGGGAATATAACGCCTGAACGATCCATGGGTTTTTGCTCATCTGGTGAGGCAATAGCACCTGCAGAAGCTGACACAGAGGTAAAGCTGTTTGCCGGATCTGAGTCAGGGGAAATCTTCAGGTTAGTTAGAAAATATCCAGAGAGTTTCTTTCTTACTCCTCCGCACCGGCTGATACCCCCTTGGCCCTCCTTGGTGATGCCTCAGGTGTGTTTCCCGTGGGACCGCTCTGCTCCTGAGAGATGTCTTCTGAGTCCCGGCTCTCATCAGCAAACACGGCTTGTGCAATCAGCCCCTCGATTGCCCGAGCCTTGGCTGTGAGAGTCTCTCGCATGCCCAGCGTGAAGGCCGCCACTCCCTGGCAAAACCCAGCTTTCCTCAAAAGCAGCTCTAGGACAGTTTGAAACTTCATTTGTTTCTGCTTTGGGGGAACATGCATTCAGGTAGGGCATGAAAACCTGTTATCAGAAATTAAAAGAAAATAACCTCTGGATAATCATTTGAATGATTTCCCATGTAAAAAGGGGAAAAAATACAAAATCACGCTGTTGAAAGAGCAGGGGAAGTAAAAGCTTTTCAGAGGTAGGCTGAAGTGGGAATTTCCAATGGAAAAACTGCTTCAATGCAAACTTTGTCTGTCTGGAGCGGCTGACCGGTGGGGCGAGCGCAGGGAACCAGACTCACACCAGCTGCCGGCTCAGCGCTGCCCGTCCTTCCCGGCAGCATCCCGACATGTTCAGGCATCGAACCCCAGGCGTGCTGTGGGCCGGGGGTGGGGGGATTGCCCCGGGGGGAGGTGGCAGAGAGGGGTCTCTCGCGCCATGTTAACGCTGTGCCTCTGTCCCCAGGTGCAGAGGATGTGTGCGGCGAGGCAGATGTTGCTGCTGCTGCTGGCTTTCCTGGCCTACGCGCTGGATTCGGCCGCGGCGTACGGCACGGCAGAGACCCTCTGCGGCGGGGAGCTGGTGGACACGCTGCAGTTCGTCTGCGGGGACAGGGGCTTCTACTTCAGTAAGTGCTGGGCAACTGCTGGCAATGGGCAGGATGCTGCCCCCACCCCACACCTTGCTCTGATGGAGCCGGGCTGGGAGGGAAAGGAAGGGTTTTCCAGACTGGTGCTTTTCGTGATTGCCTCGCACATGGCGGTAGGCCAGGAGAGGAGCAAGAAAAGTGATATGCTCAGGGTGACATGCATCCACCTCGCGCTGATTTTGGGGACTAGTCTAGTCCCATGGGGAAACTGGGTCCTGCATTCTGATGCTTGGGAAAGTCAAACATCACTGGGGAGCCATGGCTGGTTGGCTCACTGGGGATGCGGGCAAGTCATTAAGGTAACAAGGATGTCTGCAGGCAGCTCTCTGCTGAGCTTGGGCCCTGACTTAGCTGAGCACTCCCCCTTTCCGGGCAGTCTTCCTATAGCAGCAGGTTCTAGGCTGCCCCTAAAATACTCTTCATGACCTCCTGGCTGCCTGCTGTTGAACCTGTTGCTGAAGAGTGATGTCTTAGCCTTTTGCAGTGCCAAAAAATGCAGGGATTCTGTTGTCTGCAGGGTGCAGGTGGCTTCGGGAGAGTTGCCTGGCAGGGGCTTTCCACCAGCATGCTTTTGGGGGTTTGCACTGTTGTCATTAGTGTTACAGTGGCTTAGCTGGTAAATGGGGAGGAGTAACCAGTAATCTATGGGCAAAGGTGTCTCAAATGTGAACCTTGTTCTGGTGTTTTGGTCCCCTGCTCTGCTTGAGAAGAGGGAAGACACTGTGTCTAGCTGCCCACTGAGGACTGAGCCTCAGAGTGACTGACTACGGGAAAGATGCAAAGCCAAATGGGGGAAGAGGATGGAGATACCAGCTGCATGTAGTGCTGTGCATTTGGCAGTCTTGTCTCTGCCTTGGGAAAAGGAATTTGAAAGTCACTTTCGAGTAACAGGGTGGTTTTTGGAGTAGTGGAGTTGAGAGCCAGCCTCCCTCTCATCCCAGTCTGCCTCTTCAGGGAATGGGGCGCTGCAATTTTTGGAGATAAGCCTGAATGTCCCTTCCCAACTTGGATGTCCCTTCCCAACGTGGATGCTCAGCCAGACTGGCTGTTGCTGCCTCCTGAGGCTGGACAGGGAGAGGCGCAGGGATCCCACATCCAGCGGCATCCAGGATTCGGGCTGTGTAATTTTGGGCAGGCAGCTGGGCTGCAGGTGGCTTTGCAGCTATCTGGGGGCGATTGCTGCCCCAGCCCGGCCGAGCAGCAGGATGTTTTCACAGCCCCCCGGGTGCTGCAGGCAGGCGGCACTTTTGGGGACGCCCTGGGCGCGCTTCCTTCCTCTGTCCGAGCCAAGCGGCGAGGGTTTGCACGTCAGCTGCCCTTCCTCTTCTCATCTCCCCCTTCCACCTTTCCTCTGCCAACGAGCCCCGTGCTGGAGCTCGGCTGAGGCAGTGGGTCTGGGACTGGCCTTACTGGCACGGCAAGGAGGCGAGCTCCTCTCTCGCTCTCACACCTCTTCCTCTCCCTCTATATATAGAGGAGCATCCGTCTCCCTCCCGTGGTTTCTCTTCCCTCCTCCCCCTCTCTGGGGATGAAAGGGAATGGGGCTTTTGTTTTACGGACAAACTGACCTCCTTTCACCTCAAATAACCCAGCCGCCCAGGCCAAAATAAAAACACTTTTGAAGGCAGACAAGTCGCTTGGTGCCAAGTGGCCAGTCTGGTGCTTGCAAGGCAATTCTTGATTTATTTTTTTTTTTTGTCTTCTCCTGTCCCCACTTCTTTTTGAATATTTCTGGAAAACCGAAGTGCTGGAGGATGAAGCAAAGTCCCCCCAGTCCCACATTTTAACCCTTCCTGCCTCTGACCAGCCTGTGCTCTGTAGAACTGAAGATGTTTGGGTGATGGCTCTACCTGATGGAGGTTTGGGATGTCCCCAGCTCACCTAATATTTTTCTCTTTACCTCCATCACTTTTCATAAAGTGATTAATTCTGCTGACCATATTCATCTTCACTCGTAAACCCTCATGGCAACACTACTGTCACCGTATAGGCTCGATAGGGGCATAATTATGTTGCATGATTTTGGGTTTACATCTTAAAACTGGGCCTGGGTTTGTCATGAGCGCTACTCAGCATAGGACTTGCAATCGATGAGCAGCCTGCTCATCATTCATATGGGAGGTAAATGAGTTGGGCAGCCTTGTCCTGCAGGTACAGGTGGGCCCCACTTGCTGAATGGGGCTTGTTGCAAGCATCTGACTAGTAATCTTGGAAAAAACAAAAATGGCATGCAAATCCGTTATCAGTTTTTTGCTGCAATGGTAATATAAGTACTTAAATGATGCTCTACATTCTTACAAAGGAGTACTTATCTAACAAAGCTAGCTCTGAAATACAGCCCTGTCTGCATCCGTGCAAGGGGATGCAGCATGCCCACGGTGTTTCATCCCCCCGGCAGCTGGCGATGGGGAAATGCACAGCCTAGACTGAGGAGGGTGCACCCCTGAGAGCAAGGATGCCCATCTGTCTGCTGGTGTGGAGAGCGAGTCCCAGCCCCCGGCTGCCCTTGGAGGCATCGTGACTGGCAGGTGCCTGGGGCTGGGGATGTTGAAGCTGCCTCCAAGAGCTGGGGCTACAAAAGAGCTGCAACAGGGGCAGGAGCTGGCAGCACGGGGGCTACCTGGCCACTGGACGCAGGGTGGGCACAGTGATGTGCACCATGCCCGCTCTCCACTGCATGCTGGGGGTGCCTGGGCAAGCAGCAGCTGGAGCCTTGTGTGCTTTGCTCTCTGTTTCTGCCGTGAGTCCTCCTCTCTGTGACTTTTAAGGCATTTGGGGTTGGCCTGCAGGTGCCAGCAAGGTGGTGGCATCCCGCTGTGGCTCTGCAGCAGGGTCGGGACCCTCTCTCCCTGCTTCCTGGTGCCCACTCCAGGGATGGTGGCACAGCCCACAGAGGGATGCTGAGCGCAGCCCTGGGTAAAAAAGTGGGGCAGGTCAAGATGAAGCCCCGGCTGCGAAGTTGCTGTCATGCAATGCTGGCAGGGAGGGGAGAAGGGGCTGCAGGGAGAGAGGCGTCCAACTTCTCTGTAAACAACAGCTCCTGTTTCCTCCTTTCCAACAGCTGATAAGAATTTAGCTCTTTGCAGCCACTTGTGCTGACGGGGCACATTCTTGCGCACCCGCCGCTCCTCCGAATAATACTAGGAAAAAGCAGGGGGGAAAGTGTGGTGCCGGGGTGGGGGAGGGCCAGGCCGGGGGCACTGGGACGGGGCCCAGTGCCGCACAAAGGCCCCCTTGTTGCTCCCGACATTCCTGCGACAGGGGCGCGGGGACTGTTTACACCCAAAGTCCCCTTCCACTTGGCTTGCCGTCTGATTGACCAGAGGAGAGGGGACCCGGCCAGGGTGGCACCGGCACCACGCACCCTTCCTGTGGCATCCGTCCGGCCCCAGTGAGGGTGGGGAGCCTGGAGCAGCAGGGTGGTGGTGCCAGGGAAGGGACCCTCTTGTCCCCCCTCGGCCACAGCGGTGCCACCGCCTCCAGCACGGAGGCATAGCTGAGCTGCAGGTACACAGCCTCGGGGTTCTCCCGGGAGCAGGTTTGGTTTTGCAGCACTGCCGGGGTGCCCAGCTCTCCCTGTCAGGATAGCCCACTGCTGGGTGGGAATAACCCTGGGCAGCTGGAGGGCTTTGCCTTGCTGGGCTTTGTGTTGCCAGGCTTTGCACCACCGGGCTTTGCATCGTGGGGCTTTGCATCGTGGGGCTTGGCCCCTCAGCAGAGCTGTGGGATGTTTTGGTGGAGCACAATTTGGGGAAAAAGAGAGCACCGCCATTCACTGAAGGCCTAGAGGAAGTGCGTTTCCTCGGGGGGAGGTGGTCAGCACTGCAGTGGGAAGTGGTCCGTGCACCCCAGCGGTGCTGCAGCCCACTGCCCACACAGCTCTCCCCTGTGGGCAAGGGAACGGAGCAGCAAAACCCTCCCTGCCTTTGGCAGGGGTGGTAAAGTGAGATGCCACCCATGGGCAAAAGCCAGGAAATTCAAATTTTAGTCTGTGCGTAAATCGTTGTTATGGAACAAACGCTTTTCTCAATCCAGGTCAGCATCGATGTTGCTGTTAACCAGCAATGCCCTGGCGTCTCTTTCCTGGACTGTTGTGTCCAGGTGCTTTCTGGGACGAAATCCCTGTTTGTTATGGTTGCCTATTTTTTTTTCCTAAAGTAACTCTCCCACAGAGGATTGTATTGACATTTGGCGAGATCCACACGGACAATTATGTAATGTGAAATGTGCCCTATGGGACGGTGGCAGCGGAGCTGGCAGCGGCGCCAGCAAGGGGAACGGCACGCAGCGGCTTTACGCAAGAGAGAAGGAAGGGGCAGCGCATGGGGCCGGGGGCCATGCGTGTGCCCGCTGGCAGGGCAGGGGCAGTGGGCGGGCAGGAAGGGGCTATCCCGTCCCGGTGGTCCCTGCTGGGAGCTCACCCTGGCGGGGCCACGCCTGGGCATTTGCAAACATGTGCTGTCGTGATCTTCCTGCATGCTCCCGTGCTAGAAAGTGCCCTTGATGGCAAGGTGGTGAAAACGGTCGCGCTTTGCTTGTTAGTTTTTTTCCCCCCACTCCTCTTTCCAAACAAACACATAGATGCAAGCGGGCAACTTCTGTTTTCAAGAGGAGACGTGTAACCTTTCAAAACCTCAACTTCTCCCTGAACCGTGCGTGTCGTCACTTGTGCAACCTTCTGTTCAGCGGGAGTGTGAATGCAGCCCTCTGGGGATGTGCTAGCAAGAGGGGGTGACTTGAATTTTTTCTCTTTTTCCTTCCAAACTCCCCTTCTGCCTGTGCTCAGGATGCCTTTCTGGAGCAGCCTAATGCTTCAGCGACCTGCCACACGGGCAGCTTTGGGCACTGGGGTGGATAGGTGTGGAGCGGGGGCCCTATGCGGAATGGGATGTCGGTGGCAGCGCACGTCTCCTGTGGACCTTGCTGGGCATGCATGTAGAAGAATACAGGCGCATAGAAGGACACATTGTGTGCATATAGAAGAATACTTGCACCTGGTCCCAGGCAGGCTCCTCTCCCCCGGCTCCCTTGGGCATTGTCACCCACATTGCCTGGACCAGCATCACTCTACAGATACGGGCACCCAACACACTTGCCCTGCCTTTAAAGGGAGGGTCCAAGCCAGAGTGCTTGTTGGCCACAAGCATTTATGGAGAGAAAATTAAACTCCTAACAGTGCTGCCTTCGCTGAGCCTTTACCAAGAGGGAACCATCCTTCTCACCTTCCTGCCAGGCTGGCTAAAGGTTGCGCCTGAAATTTTTACAGAGAAAAAGAAAAAGAAAAGGAGGGCGGTGGTACAGGGGGGGATAAACATGGAAAATGGAGCATGGTGCGAGTCAGCTGCTCCATAGCCCTGCACCCTGATGCCACGTTTGCTCTCACGACTTGCGAGCACAGCGGGAATGCACCAGCATGGAGCACGGGGGCATGGCTGGTTTTAGTAGCGAGAGGGTGCCCTGCTGCCAGGGGCTTTGCTATTTCAGAGTAGGGTTTTGCATGCCAGCACTGCAACATGGGGCTGCATTGAACATGCAGGGCTGCACTGGACGCAGAGGGCTGCATTGCATGTGCCAGGCTGCATTGCACACATGTGTTTGCACTGCACATATGGGGCTGCTTTTCACATGTGGGGTTGTGCTGCATGCACAGAAAACTCCTGTGCTTTGCGCTTTGTTCTGAGGCATTTTGGGTTGTCACCCAGATGGGGTACCCCCCAAGGAAATTGGCCAGCACCTTGCAAGCCAGGGCCATTAAATCTTCATCAGGGCCCAATACTTGAGTGTCTGCTTCGTCCGGAGTGTGGGGAGGATGGTGGGTCGTGCACGGGGCAGGTGTTCCGTGGACCATGGTGGTCCATTTTGTGTGTTCCTACTGGGAGGTGGGGGCTGGGCGGTGTGGTGAGCAGCATCAGGCATCGTGCTTCCACCACTCACTCTCAGTTTTCCCATGCCCAAATTCTCATGGCCAGGATGTGGTACCGGATCCTGTTTGCAAACCCTGCTGGTGCTGGCCTCTGTTCCCACCCTTGGAGCACCTTGCACTAGGAGGAGGTGCTCATGGCAGCTCCTGGCTGCAAACCCCACACCAGCACAAGCACATAACATGCCACGTGCAAAAGCGTGGAGAAAATCCTTTTGTTTTGGGCTGGTTTACGTTTTGTAAGTTGTGATTCCCAAGCAAATTTGTTCAGCATCAGAAATTCAAATTTTCTCATCTCCTTTATTTCAAGAGGGGGAGGAAAACCTGTAAAACTGATGTCAAGTTTTCCTCTGGAGTGCTTTGGCCCTCATTAAGCAGTGATATGAAATGCACTCGGTTGTTGCTGCACTGGACATGGGCTTTCGCATCCTTCTGCAGGCAGAAATGGGAGAGGAACCCTTATTAAAAGATTAAGTTTAATAGCTATTCTTGGCGGGTGCAGGAGCCTGTATTCTTTCTGCAGCTGTCTCAGAGCTGTCCCATCTGGTAAAATTTAGCCGCCTTGGTTCGCTTCACCTGCCTGAGTGTTGACCCGACGGAGGGAGGTTGGCAGCCGCAACGCCGCGCTGCTTCTTTCTAATAAAACTCGCTTGCCAGGATCAACATCGGAGACGGTCGCAGTAATCGGCACAGTGCTGGCGGCCGGGCTGGGCTCGAGCTTCCTCACTTTAGCTGTGCCCAAAAAGGCCGCCCGTGCCAGAGGCATAGGAGGGGGGAATAAATCACTGCCATATAAAGCGTCTTTAATTAGCACTGCGCACACGCAGGGAGCCCTGTTGGCATCAACAGCATTTGTCTGGGAAAGTCTTAACTTGAAACTCGGCCGGTCGGCAGGTGCGTGTCAGCTAGTCTGGGAGAAGCACTGCTGTTTTTGAAGCATGTGGGACCCACCGGTCTCCGGTGGCTGGTGGAGGGATGCCTGCAAGGGGACAGGTGCTGTGGAGGCAAGAAGAGGGTCTAGTCCAGGTTGGTGGCTAACGCCGGCATCTCTGCTGTTGCAGGTAGACCGGTGGGACGAAATAACCGGCGGATCAACCGGGGAATCGTGGAAGAGTGCTGCTTTCGGAGCTGTGACCTGGCTCTGCTGGAAACCTACTGCGCCAAGTCTGTCAAGTCCGAGCGCGACCTCTCCGGCACCTCCCTGGCGGGTCTGCCGGCGCTCAGCAAGGTAGGAGGCTGCGCCGTGATGGTGGCTCTTCTCAGGAATAAATAACAGGAGAAAAGATGGGAAGGCCATGGTGGGAGAGGACAAACCCCAGCTGCAAGGTCCATTGCTTCTGCAGAGCCTTCAAGACAGGGCCACTGTTGGCAGCTCGTGGCAAATACCTGGCAGAAGGTCAGCTCTGAATAAGGTGGGGGACCAGGTGGGCTGGATCAGAGAATTGTAGAATGCTTTGGGTTGGAAGGGACTTTTAAAGGTCATCTAGTTCAACCTCCCTGAATGGAGCATGGACATCTCCAACTAGATCACGTTGCTCAGAGCCACGTCCGACATGGCCTTGAGTATTTCCAGGGATGGGGCAATGTTTCCAGGGTATGGATGGAACTCAAAGAGGGGATCCCCTGTCCAGAGGGGGTGGGCAGGCTTGCGATGAAGCTGACGCTAAAAAAAAAAAAAAAAAAAGAAAATCTGTTAAGCAAATAAATATCCATCCAGAATATGAAGCCTGACTTTCTCTTTTAATTTATTTTTTGCTCCTGGGTTGAGAGTTGGGTGGGAAGAAGGCCATGCCAAGCACCACTCTTCATGGAGGAACAGAGTGCATTGCAATTCCACTTTCTGGGGCTCAGACCTGCCCGAGAGGGTGAAGTGCCCTTAGACATAACCCTGAAACCACAGTCCTGTGGCAGTTGCCCCCTGAACCCACCAAGAATCTTGCCAGTGATTCTTGGCAAGATTTGGGGGTGTTTCCCAGTGGCTGTTGGGATTTGTTTAGCTTTTACTGGTTTGGGCTGTTCCCAGAGACCTGAAAAAGCTGGACAGGAGCTGAAGACTCGTCAAAAGCAAAAAGGAGAAAAAAAATGTATCATCTAGGTTAGGTTTCCTGGTAGGTGGTGCTTCTCTGGCTTCTTGGGGTAGATAAGAGCCTCTCTTTAATTTTTTAGGGATACCGATAAGCTGCTTTTCATCACATACAACCATCGTGCACCAGTGCAAATGGAAGGTAAAATACTGTGGTTCCAGTTTGGTAGCAGCACAACTACTGGGCAAAACAGTGCCCGAGCATCCCTAAGGCCCCCAGTCAGGCAGGCAGCCCCACGGGCATGGCCAAGGCATCAGTCTGGCTGTGGGGAACGGGACTTGAGAAAGGATCTCACCGAACCCATCTTCCTGCCCCAAACAGCTTGGGCTGGAAGAGATTTTTCACCTCAAATGCAGAGCTGCTGATTTAGGCACTTAAAAAATACATGGTTTAAAACAGGGTGTTTTTTTAAAATTTTGCAGTAGCAAAAAAAAAAAAAAAATTTTCCTCAAGAATTTTTTCTCTTGAGGTTTTTGTGGTTGGTCAGGAAGGTTTTTGTACAGATGCAGGGCTGGCTGCTTCCTTCGGACATGTACTTTATTGCAGGTGAAGAAAAGATGTGCCTGCCTTTCTGTCCCTTTCCTACCGCTCACTGCAGACCTCTGGTTTTCTTTGCACTAAAAGGTGTCCCTTTGACGCGTGAGGACTGACTTCCTTGTGGCTTCTGGTGGCCACTGCTGGAAATTTTGCCTTTGGGAGCTTTGGTCCCTTTGTGCTCTTTGCTGTGTAAACAAATGGGGAACATTTAGGGATGATTAAAAACCAAGCAAAGCTTCAGCTAAATCTCTTGCCTGCATCCCCCAGGGAGCAGAGCAGCGATGCTGGAAGTACCACAAGGGTGATGATGCTGTTTCCAAGCATGGCTCATCTTCAACCTCCCTTTCTGCCTTATCCTGTCATGGGTTACCATGGGGCCAGACCAGAGCAGCTCACAGTTTTGGATACCAGGAGACTGTTCCAAATGTGCCAACCTGCCTTTTAGCTTGGCAAGACTGCCTTCACTTGCAAGGAGAGACCCAAGCAGCCCCAGGAACCTAGTCCTGGCCACTGAGTGGGACACTGGGTGAAACTGGACCTTTGCTTTGACTCAAGTTTCTTTTGTTGCCTGCAAAGCCTCTTTTCAGGTCAGCAGATAAGTCATGGCCTTAACTTGGAAATCTCAGACTGCAGGCTTGAGAACAAGCCCAAGGTGCTGTGTTTGCTCAGATGAGAGGGCAGAATTGACGCCGATTTTTGTTATGATGCCTCTGCACGCAGTCACAGCTCCAAGTTCTTAGCTGCTGGACTGCAGGAGCATGTGAGGCTGCAGCAGTGTCCAGCCGCGATCCCTGGAGAGGGACAACTGGCAGGTCTGGGCACCCAGCGCACCTCCATGTCCAGCCCAGCTGACCCAGGCACCTCCACCCGCTGCTCTGCTGACATACAAGAGAGTGGGGAGGCAAAGGATAATTTCAACAGAGAAATCCTAAACGCCGCCTAAAGCCCCAGGAAGGAGAGGGAAAGTCACCTCCTCATCCTAGCTCAGCCCCAGCTCTGGCCCCTGGGTCTCAGTATTACCATTGAGCTCTGTAGGAAGCAAAAGGCAAATGGTTTTTGCATAAAGCACCTTTTCAGAGAGCATTTTCCCAGTGTGATACACACAGGGATACTGGGAAAGAGGGAAGGTGCAACTTGCTGTACAGAAGTGGCACAGTCTGCAAGGTATGTAAATCAGTGTCTCTGGCTTTGTCTGGATAGGGGGAGATACCAGGGAAAAATATCCCTGCCAACCAACACATACTTTTCCTTCCCCCTCCCCCCCCCCCCCCCCCCAGAAGGCAGCTGAGTTGTTTTCCTAGGATTCAGTGAGTTGTACTAGTTCCATCAGGATGGACTGAGCCTCCAGACTGGTTCCTCTACCTCTGTATCTCATAGCAGCTTCCTCCCTTTCATTCCACCTGCTCTCAAAAGCTTAGTCTGTCAGTGATGTACCTTGCTGCACTAAATGAAGGGAAGAACCATGTTTGGCATTTTTGAAAATATACCTGATTTCCTTCTTGCATGTGCTACTGTTTTGATGTTTTACATGGCTGTGGGGAAGTCTGGGAGAGGTGTTGCTGTATTGTGGATTATTTCGTTTGCCTGCACTCAGTAGTAGAGAAGACTCAGTTTCTGCACCTATTGCACTTCTCACTTGTAATGCAGTATCAATAAAGCAAAGCAGTTATAATAACCTTCTGGCATCTGATATCTTTTTCTTTCCCCCACTTTATTTTTTAAAGAGCAGGTGAGCCACAAAACACGCCAAGGCTGGGGTAACAGCAATTCCACAGCTCCCAGTGCAGGAGAAAGAGGAACCCCAGTTTGTAAAGACAAACAGACCCCATTTCCTAGGAGGGGTCTGTCATTGCCACCGAGGGGGAGCTGAAGGATGCTCTGGCTGTCAGTGGGCAGCATGCTGCGGCAGACATGACTTCAACCTGCCGGAAAGGCACGGGTCCTCACAGGAATCTTGGCCTGCTTTGCTGCTGCGCTCCCAGCTGTGCATGTCCTGAGGAATGCACTTGCTCATTAAAATCATGTCAGCATTTGCAGAGAGCCCTGCGAGAGCCTCTTTCCCTGCCTTCTCCTTGTATCTGCCAACAGTGAACTGAAAGCTGAGGCTTCCAACCTGCCAGGCTCAGCAACCAGCAATAGCCTGGAGGCAGGAAATTTCTGAACGAGGGCATTTTTTGGCTTGGACAGCTTGGGAGGTCAAACTTGACTCTCCAGATGAGATGTTCTGGTCTTAAGTTGGCTGCTCACAGCTCTGGGTTTGGGTTTCCAGGACAGGCACAGCATGCAGCAGTGACTGGAGATGAGCACCACTGTAGAGCATCCATCTCCATGTGTGTTCTCCAAAGAGCAACATGGCAAGCAGCATTGGCTGGAAAGCATTAAGCAAATCACATTTTTGAATGGAAAAAAGACACTATTCAAGTACCTGATTAGTTCACAGGTAGCAGCAGCAGAGACAAGTGCAGAACTACACCCTGTCACTGGCAATAAAATACCCGCTTCACTTTTCAAAATTACTAGAGATACATTCAGTTTGTACTGACTTTTCAAAACTCTCACATCTATTTCATGGACTTGTTTGTGCTTTGTTGTTTGGCAGCTTGAGAAAAGGCATAGCTCACAAGTTTAGGACAGTCAGATGAAATGACACCAATGATTATAACGTAAAGCAAAGCATTTGCATGCTTTGCCATGGGAGAGGTGCTGGGACAATCTCTTGCCTCCCTGTCCTCCCACCAGTTTGTTTACACTGAGACCATGCTCCTTCTCTACAAGATGCCATCCTTCAGCTGCACCAAATTTGAAAGGAACCAATTTAGGAAGGTAGTCAAGACTCAGGGGTCTTGTTATAAAGATTTTTATTGCAAACAAACGTTATAAAAAAATCATTTATTAATAGAGATCTTTCTCAAAAGAACCCAGGTTTCTTGTCTCATTGCCTCTATTGTCAGACCAATGTCTTAGCACTTCTGATCTTTAGAAACCATATCCTAATGACCAAAGGAAGCCACCCATGATGATATCTTTTCTAATGACAGCCCTGTCTTTCGTCTTCTCTCCCTGGATGGAGGAACTGTCACCTTCATTTCACCAAGGTGCTAATCCAAGCTGTACCAGCATTTTGGATACAATTTTCTTAAGGTCCATGTAAGTGGCACAGGGATCTCTGAGGGTACCCCTCCAACTTCTGGGACAGAATATTTCCCCATCATCCCCCCTCACTAAAAAAAAAAAAAATCACCAGGAACAGGAATTTTGGATACTTTATTTCCTGTCTCAAGCCAGAAGGGCACACTGATAATGGTAATCTTTGTTTTCTTCACAGCTGGGGCATAGCTGCAAAGGGAGGGAGGCAATTAAGAGAATATTAAGACTTCATCTTCCAAGATGTTGTTGCTTCTGTTCCTCCTCCCTCTTCCCGCCGTTCCCCATGCTTAGCAAAGAAAGCGGCAGGAGTATTATTTCTCAAGGCCTACACTGACGTCAATACGCAGCGTATTTATTTATGAAATTGAATCTAACAGTGGGGGAGAGAGGAGCAGAGGAAGATGGACGCTCAGAGCTAGCAGCTGCCAAGTTATAATAGAGCAGCAACCTCCCAATATTTTTCTACCCTCTTTCTGGGGGAGGGGTGCAGTGCCCAGAGCTTCGGAGGCCCAGGGAAAGT